GGAAAGAAGCTCCTGTAACTATCTTCCTGGCTGTCAATCAGCCAGAGGAAAATCTGCCCTCCCTTTAAAGCATAGCAAGACCCTGACGTCACTCCTGAGCCCAGTTGCTAGGCCATATATGGCTATCTGGCTGGGTGGAGTCTCATACAAATGGTTGGCTAAGCTAGTGCTTGGCAGCTGCTGCAGTACAGAGGGCTGCAATTGTAGCTCTCAGGTCTGTCAGATGGGCCTACAGCTGCTGAGGAAAATTTTGCATGGATTTGATCCTTTGGGTTTCCTGGTTTAGGTTTGTGTCATAATTTTAACAGGATTTGATTTCCTTTAAAAATAGAGGGGAACTGCATGCCTGAAGAAACTGATAGGGAGCTGCAGATATTTTCATTTCTATATTGGCAGTTCAGATCCGTTCAAATAAACTGTGGTGACTGCATCTGAAGTTTATGCAGTAGCCTCCTTAAAATGAGTCGAGGGATCTTAGTCCAGTTCCTGGTGAACACATCACAAAAGCCACCATCAAATGTGACACTAACTAGTTCCCATCTTGGTAATGCTGCAGCAGCAAAGCCAGGAATTTAATAAGCAATAGAGACTGAGCCACACTCTCTAAAGTCTACTCTAAACAATAGTTCAGGTGGGAAAAAAAGCCTCTTGGCAGAGCAGTATGTACTGCTGTTTCCTGTATCTACTTAGACTCAGATCCCAGCAGGTCTGCCAACCAGGGTGTGTGTGGCAAAGGGCATGTCTACACAGCAGGGCAAAAGTCTAATTAAGATATGTAATTTCAGTTACGTTAAAAAATAGCTTAATTTGGCTTTTGGCACCGTCTACATAGCAGGAAGTTGAAAGAAGAACACTCTTCCTTCGACTTCCCTTACTCCTCATGAAATAAGGGTTATAGGAGTCAGAATAAGAAGTCCTCCATCTCAACATTATTTCGAAATAACGGCTTGCTGTGTAGATGCACACTTTGATATTTTGAAATAACATCAGTTATTCCAAAATAATGCTGCTGTGTAGACATGCCCAAAGAGAGGAGTAGCCCAAGAGCCTGCCACTTCAACAGGACCTAGGGTTCTGGGCTACTATCAAGCAGTAGCCACAGCAGGAGCCCCAAGTGGTGCTGACTGGGTGGTGCTGAGAACAGACTGGAGGAGGCTAGTTCCTAGCCCCACCCCTTCTTCCTGAATCCCTGTCCCTTCCTACAGGCCCAGCACCAAAGCCCCATACCCACCCATTGCCCAGGGTCTGGCAAAGTCTGTCACCAGCCTTGAATGCCAGTGCCCAGAAATATTAATTTGGAACCTTTTATTATTATTGAATTCAAGTTCTGTAAAAACAATTGTTATTTACCATAATTTAGAGATGGTGTGAAACTATATGAAGGTTACAAAGAAAGGCACATAACATTTACCTGAGATATGATTGGCATGATGTTATTGCCAGTCAGTTGAAGCCTCTTCTAATTTTTACATATTTAATGTGAATATTACTTATCCAGTTGGCCAAAAGTATAATTCCAATCCAGCTCAGGTAAAAACATCATTTACAGTTGTTTTTAAAATGTATATTAGTTACTTTATTCTTTCCAGTATCTCCTGCCTGCCTAAGGATGTTAAGTATTGGGTAATTGACTAATTGAATAGTAGATGCACTTTGCATCAACTATTCAATTAATCCATGGGGCGCCTCTGCCTTCAAAGGTGAAAGCCCCAAAGCCCAGGGTCAGCTAGGGACTGGCTGGAGCTGAGTTGGGGTGCAGCAGCCACGGTGAGGAGGGGGGCTCGCTCTGGGGCACTGTTTTCCTACTTTGGAGGAGGGCAGGGGATGTGTGGAGCCGCCTTCCAGACCCTGAGCCGCCTCCATCTGGGAGTCCCATCCTTGCCTCCTCAAGCCCACCACTCTCCTCCCTGTTGTGTGGCCCCAGCCCTGCAGCCTCCACACTCCCTGCTCCACTCGCCTCCCTTTCTGCCTTGTGATGTTCCTAGCAGCCAGGCTAAACACAGTGCTGAAGTCATGCCCAGCCACCAGTGCCGTCCCTGGCAGGAAGGTGAGGGCAGCATGGACTGGACCCCCATGCGACCCTTCCCCCAGCAGAGCTGGACACCCAGGGGTCACCCACTTACCCACCCCCGTCTTGCCCATTTCCCTGAACCTTTCCCCCTGAGCCACCCTGCCTCCAGCCTATCCTGGTGATCCAGCATCACTTCCCCTGCAATATTGGAGCCAGTGCCTGCTTCCTGCAGAGGGGAAAGCCATGAGACTCTGTGTTGCATCCAGCTTCTGGGGAAGCACACACGCACTGCTCCTCCCCTCCCCGCAGGAAAAGCTGTAGCGGAGCCCGGGACAGAAGATCAAGAGCGCTCCTCCTGGGAGAGCAGCGCAGCCTAGAGAAGCAAGGTTAAATCGTGGCACGCCACTTTGGAAAGGTTGCTGACCCCTGGACTAGCCAGTGGCATTTTGTATACCTTTATGATCTAGCCTTGCTCTGAACAGGATTAGATGGCACAGAGGTAAACATGTTAGCAGCAAGCCTACAGTAGCTATACTCCCATTGCTCTCTCCAAAGTAGGAACTGAGCTAGTGCTTAAGAAGGAAAAAACCATGTTAAAACCATTTTAATATTATTTGCGCAAGAAGGGTGTTAGAAAGTAACACTCTCGATAGTTTTTCTAGCCAGCAAACTCCAAACCATTCTACCACTCTCCGGCATCTTGTCTGAGGGGAAGCTACATTTCACATTTTCATGGATAACATGGTTCCACACCTAGTGTAAGTTCCCGGAGTATCCAGAGAATACTGGTCTCTGCAGTTCTTCAGCAATCCAGGCTATGGACGTCTTTGCCACCACCAACGGGGTGGTGCAGAACAGCTGGGCTACGTTCTGCCTCCAGAAGAGGCATCCTAATTTCTAACTTTGGAATAGGGAAATCCGCGGGGGATTTAAATATCCCCCGCGGGATTTAAATAAACATGGCCGCCGCTTTTTTTCCGGCTTTTCCCCAAGCCGGAAAAGAGCGTCCAGACTGGCGCGATCCTCCGGAATAAAGCCCTTTTCCGGAGGATCTCTTATTCCTACTT